AAAAATCCAAATATAGTAAGGAAGCTTTTGTAATGAAGATTTGACCTCATCATATATACTGCGTGTATAATTATATTACAGATACAACATGGATTCCTGAGGGTAGGGCTGAGATTGGGATAGATGAAATAGTATTCTGACTTCCTGTTGCTCAGAATCAAAAGTCTTTGCAGGTTGGTGGTCCAGAGGGTCAGAGATGTCACAGGCCCTGCCAGTGTCCAGGGAAGCCACATCTCATATTCCTTTTTCTGCCAGGTTGCAGAGGCAGTGTTAACATCCCAACTGAAACCACATCAAGAGAAACCAAATTTTATTATCAAGACCCCAAAGGTAATGCCTTTTGCCCACCTTATCCCATTTAGAGTGCCTTGAAGGACTGATTTCTGCTCTGCTCATCTCTCTGAGCCATTTTAATGTTCTCTAAGTTAAAAAAAAACAAAAGCAAAAATAACTATTCTTGAGATACTTGGTGGGGTTCAGAGTCATCTGAAATCAAGAAATCTCAGCTCCAGTATAAGTATAGTTCAACTCCTTGTCTTAAATGGATTTATTTTTTGTTTTTGTTTTCACTATGCCTGCTTTTGGTTTCTAGGGCACCAGGGATCTTAGTCCCGAGCAGATGGTTGTGAGGGAGAAAATTCTTGATTTGGTCATCAGTTGCTTTAAACGTCATGGAGCAAAGGGATTGGATACTCCGGCTTTTGAGCTGAAGGTAGGGGAGAAGAAAGACTGCCTTGAACCCCATTTCTTTACCTGTTTTCAGTATCTCATAGGGTTCTCTTCTGCACTTTGGAGTCATCCTTTGAACTGTGGCTTTTTCTGTTTGACTCCTACAGGAAATGCTCACTGAGAAGTATGGAGAGGACTCTGGGCTCATTTATGATCTGAAGGATCAAGGTGGAGAGCTGTTGTCCCTTCGCTATGACCTTACTGTATCCTGAGTGTTGGAGCCTGATCTATCTCTTTCCAAGCTAGAGTACTTTCTCTGACAAAAGGGAGGAGAATGATTCTGGGACTCCATAGATCTGTTGCTAGCAGACATTACTTCCAGTTTCTCCCTGAAGTAATTCTGGAGACAATTCTGTCAATGGAGCCTGGCCCACAGCCCTGTCATTTAACTTTAATGTGTATCAAAATCATTTGGGGGAGCTTGCAAGGCCCAGATTCCTGGCCACAGCTTTAGAGATTCCTAATTTTGTAGTGGGGCTCAACTATCTGCCATTTAAACAGGCATCCTGGGTAATTAAGATGCATATGGTCCTTGGCTTACACTTTCAGAAATGTCTTAGAATTTGTAGACAATCCAAGTTCTGAAGCTTGACTATTTTAAGATGGCTTAGAGTTAATCTAAATGGGAAGAAATGACCGAGATCTGAAGTTAGTTTTTGGGTCACTTCAATCTCTGCTTCACTTGTTTTCTGCTGAACTTTTGCTGGGTGAGATTCCCTTGTTTGATACTATTTAATATATATTGAATGCCAACAACTGCTTGGGACAGTGGGAAACAAGATAGAGAAGGTCTTTGTTCTAATCATAGTGGATGAGATCCAACTGATGGAGGATCAGTGGGAAACAAGACAGAGTAAGTCCTTGTTCCCATCATGGTGGATGAGATCCAGCTGAGGTCCAATCCTCTTAGTGTCTGTATGCTGAGCCTAAGCCTTTATAAAGTATGCTTCTTTCTTAACCTTTATGTGAGGTCCCCTTTGCTCGTTATCTGGCCATGAATAAAATGAAGAAGATGAAACGCTATCATATTGGAAAAGTGTGGCGGCGGGAGAGCCCAACAATGGCCCAAGGACGCTACAGGGAGTTCTGCCAGTGTGTAAGTGACTGGATGGGAGCAGCACAGTTGGAGGGTTTTGGGGACCACAACCTTGGAATTGGCTGAGGTTAGAATTGGAGGTTTTTTCCATCTTTTTCTTTGCTGTAGGATTTTGACATTGCTGGTCAGTTTGATCCTATGATCCCTGATGCAGAATGTTTGAAGATCGTGTGTGAAATCCTAAGTGGGCTACAGCTGGGGGACTTTCTCATCAAGGTGAGGCTAGGGCTGAGGACATGGGAAATAAGTCTGGATTTGGCCTGATATTGTTTATGCAAGTCCTAAATCTAGATGACCCCAACCTTTAAGCCTGAAGCTCTAGGACTTTCTTAGTCTAGCTTGGGGGAGTCCTCAGACTTTTTAAACAGGGGGCCAGTTCACTGTCCCTCAGACCATTGGAGGGCTGGACTGTGGGCCCCGGGACGCGTTGGCTGCTAAGCAGGACAGGCAGCGGTGGCAAAAACATCCAGCAGGCCGGATAAATGTCCTAGGCGGGCTGCATGTGGCCCATGGGCCGTAGTTTGAGGACGCCTGGTAGCTGATGCATTTCCTATATATGTATTCTTCTTTTGAGATTTCCTTTCTATCCCTTTAATGAATCAGTGGAGTAGATACTGCCATTGTTTTGAGGGAAAGAGTATTGATAGGACACTTGGGTTATATACAGTGAATTCACAGGTCAATGACCGGCGGATTGTGGATGGAGTGTTTGCTGTCTGTGGTGTTCCTGAAAGCAAGTTCCGTGCCATTGGCTCTTCAATAGACAAACTAGACAAGGTAACAAGACATGCTTTAGTAGACATTATCTAGGTTCCTGCCCTGCCCTCAGATCCATACTACTAGAGAAAAATGAGACAGTGGCTGGAATTGGGCCATTTAGGGGAAGAAGGTAAGGAGATATTCTGAAGGAAAATCTGAGTTGTGATGTATAGTAGAGATAGTGGCTGGATTTCTTCTCTTCTACTTTCCCTCTCTTTCTCTGTCTCTTCCACTCTCTCTCTTCTTCTCTCCCTCTCCCCCTCTCCCCTTTCTCCTCCCACTCCTGCCCCCTCTCCTTCTTCTTCTCCCTCTTTCTCTCTCTCCTTCACCTTGCTCATAGAAATGGTTGAATTTCTTAACATATTGTTGACCTGTCAGGAGTTAACTCCTGTTTTCATGCCCAAACGTTGACCAATCATGAGTTAACTCATGTTTGTACTTGTGTTAGCTATTGCAATTTTTAAAACACAAGGTAACGTAGAACATTGTAAAAGCTTTCTTGATCATGTTTAGTCAATTACACTTTACCTAAAAAAATTATTTTTCTGGTTATTCAAGTTTTTATCGTAATTCTAGTATTGCAAAAATTTCAACCATGATAGATCGTGATGGTGAAGAATTTTTCAACAAATTATATGCAGATGCTTTATCTAGTGATCTGGAAAATGTTAGTTTATCAGGAGACAGTTATAAAACTAATAATAGACCACCGAAACGGCAAAAAAGAAATGTAATAGAATCTAATAGTGAAAATTATTATTATTATATATTTTTTTGAGACAGAGTCTCACTTTGTCTCCCACATCTCAGAGCAACCTCCAGCTCTTGGGCTTAGGTGATTCTCTTGCCTCAGCCTCCCGAGTAGCTGCGACTACAGGCACCCACCACAACGCCTGGCTATTTTTTGTTGCAGTCTGACTGGGGCTGGGTTTGAACCTACCACCCTTGATATATGGGGCTGGTGCCCTACTCACTGAGCCACAGGTGCTGCCTGTGAAAATTATTTTTAAGAAGAATAGATTGAAAATGGTATTACACCAAGCTTGGTGGATTGTACAAATATTTTGGGTGTAGCTGTTGAACTTAGTGATTCACGGAGTATCAGTGAAGTGACAGATTTACTTTTTGATAATGTTTTTTTTTTGATTTAGTTGCTTCTCAAACCAGTTTATACCACCACCAAATGGAACAATTTTATAAAAACTCTTCTAAAACTTTACCATAGATAGAAGTTACCACTGGTGATACAAAGAAGTTTCTCGTTTATTGATATTGATGGAACAAACAAAGTCATATTTGAGGGATTACTGGTCAGCAGACCTGTTGCTTGAAACACAGTATTTCCTAAAACTACAACTGGAATGAGTTTCGAGCAAACCTTACATTTTTTCATCTCAGTGATAATTCACAAGCTACGTCTAGTGAAGATAGATTATAACATTGGGCCTTTTTTAGATTACTTTATTTGAAAATTTCAGTCTTTGTATATACCTAAGCAAGAGTTATCCCTAGAAGAAGCAGTGGTTCCATATAGGGGAAATATCAGGTTTGTTTCAATTTCATAATTTGATTAAGAATAATAGCTGCTGACATGGGATAGCTTCTGGGTAAAATTGCCTGTCAACAATGTGCTAAGTTGCCTCTGGCCTCTGACTTTGCTGAGTATACTATTAGCCACTTGTGCCATAAATAGAGAATGAAAGTGAAATGTCCTTTTCCAGTTGAGAAAGGATTTTGAGGCTGGGCTAATGTTGGATCTTTGTGCAGATGTCTTGGAAAGATGTGAGACATGAGATGGTGGCAAAGAAAGGCCTGGCTCCTGTGGTCGCTGATCAAATTGGGGATTATGTCCAATGTCATGGTAAGAACCCTTTACAGAGCTATGATAGGCTGTGGGTGATATGTGCTCAACATCTACTTTTAAAACACCTCCTTTCTGTAGATAAAGCTAAGCTCCAGAGCCTGCCCTGAATTTAGTTTTCTTTCTAACTTATTTTAACCACTTTGTGTCTTAGGATGGTAAAGATGGAGGCAGAGGAGGAGGATCTGGTCACATGAGACCAGGATTTCTTTTTTTAAGAAAGTGAGGATGGCCGGGTGTGGTGGCTCACACCTGTAATCCTAGCACTCTGGGAGGCTGAGGCAGGTGGATCACTTGAGTGAGCTCAGGAGTTTGAGACCAGCCTGAGCAAGAGTGAGACCTCATCTCTACTAAAATGAAAAAAAACTGAGGCAAGAGGATGGCTTGAGCCCAAGAGTTTGAGGTTCTTGTGAGACCATGGCACTCTACCAAGGGTGACAAAGCCAGACTCTGTCTCAAAAAAAAAAAAAAAGGAAAAAAGAAAAAAAGAAATTAAAGATGACTAGCTAGAAGTGAGAGCACATTAGGGATATATTTGGATGAAACACGCCTGGGTGAAGAGGACAGACCAAATTTCTCCTCAGGTGGAGTGAGCCTAGTAGAGCAAATGTTCCAAGATCCCAGACTATCCAAGAACAAGCAGGCCCTGGAGGGCCTAGAGGACCTGAAGCTGCTATTTGAATACCTAACTTTATTTGGAATCTCTGAAAAGGTAAGATGAGTTGGGAGTGGACCTCCTACTGAGCTCTGGGGCTCTCAGGGTTCTGAAACTATAACGATTTGGTACTTACCATAGCTTGTCCCCACAGATCTCCTTTGACCTAAGCCTGGCTCGGGGCCTGGATTACTATACAGGAGTGATCTATGAAGCAATACTGCTACAGACCCCAGCTCAGGCTGAGGAGGATCCCCTGAGCATTGGCAGTGTGGCTGCTGGTGGGCGTTATGACAGGCTGGTGGGCATGTTTGATCCCAAGGGCCAGAGTGTGCCATGTGTGGGGCTCAGCATTGGGGTAGAGCGAATATTCTCCATTGTGGAGCAGAGGATGAAGGTAGGTCTTAGGGGTGAGGTGTGACTAGAGGCCTAAAAACTTTTCTGTTTCTGGAGGTGCAATTGTACTATTTTTCTGATAATTCTTTCTGTCTTGTTTTTTGGAATTGTTGTTGCAAAGGAAGTTTTCCTAGCTTTCTCGTTTGTTATCAGACTTTAGGTGAGAAGGTACGGACCACAGAGACACAGGTGTTTGTGGCCACACCACAAAAGAACTTTCTCCATGAACGGTTGAAGCTAATTACAGAGCTTTGGGATGCAGGGATCAAGGTATGATGAAGCTGATATTTGAGCCATCTGGGTATTTCAGGAGCCAAGTTCATTTCTAAATAGGACTCAATAGTCTAACTACTAGAGTGGCTTCTTATGGTAGAACTAGCTGCTTTTGGCTTCTTTGCAAATACTGGGGTTTGTGTGCTATAGTTACTTCTAAGTCTTTTACATTTTTCAGGCAGAGATGCTATACAAGAACAACCCTAAATTATTAACCCAACTTCACTATTGTGAGAACATGGGCATTCCTCTGGTGGTCATTATTGGTGAGCAAGAACTGAAGGAAGGGGTTATCAAGCTCCGTTCAGTGGCCAGCAGAAAGGAGGTGAGTGGGGGCAGCAGAAATCGAAGTGACTAGGTATTTCTACTTTTCCCAGATTTTTTAAAAAATATGTATCTTCTGGCAGAGGAAATATCATCAGTGTTAATAGTGATAGAGATAATGCAGACCAACCCCAAACAACCATTCCTCCCAGTGAGTATTGGCTGAGTAGGCAGAAGAAAGACAAATGAAATCTGAATGGGCATTTTGAGACTAATCAACAAAACTGACATAGATCAGGTGTTTGAATTTTTTTATTCTTGAGGGTATACATTCTTCAGGTCAGCCTGAAGCTCACACTACTTGATAATGGTTCTATAAATAGTTGGAATGGATGCAGAGTAAAATGAATCTGGAAAAACAATGGCTAAGGAGCTAGTGTTAACTTTCTAGTTTGTCACATGAAGATTCTCTTATGTTTCAGGTTGCCATTAAACGTGAAAATTTTGTGGCTGAAGTTCAGAAGCATCTATGTGAATCTTGATCCTTGCACGATTGCCTCTGTTGCTCTTTGTAGAAGAGTTCCTCTAGAGCTGAATTTCTGTTGGACTTCACTACTGCTGGCCATGATGGGTGACAAGTATCTTCTGCCTCCTCTATCCTTCCTGGGTATACAGAACTGTACAAGGCCCTGAGGACTCTTTTTTTTTTTT